GACAAAAAGCCTGACAAAAAAAAAAGCCTACAAAAGCCGGACAGGCCAAAGACGTACATATTTGGCCGGAAGCAACCGCAAAAAGCCAAACATGTCCGGACACCTGGCAAGCCTATCCCTGATAGCTACTGCTCAGTTTTCATAGAAGTTTATATGATGCGTTACGGAGCTGTCAAAATTATGTAATATTACATGCTAAAACAGGCTGTCCTCATTTGTAACTTCATTCATACTATTTACTTGCGGCTGCCATCTCTAAAAAAAACCAGGATAAGACGCGTGTTAACCCCGGATTTTGGAGCCCAGAACCCGGACAGACCAATAAAAAACAGTTAAAAATGTCACAAATCAACTTTTTTATGTTGATGTAGGCAAAAGAGCTAGCGGTCTACCTCATAATAAGTGGTCACTGCCGCCCATGTACACTTGCAGCACCAAGGGCCACTCGTGCTATTATTGCGGGCAGAATGGGCGACAAAGCTGATCTTTGTTGGAAGTCAGCATTTATGGTTACGGTGTTAGAATAGATTTATTTATTTTCAAAGACATTTAAATTGACGGATAAATTGGCTACCCAAAACAGGAAATTTTTAAACCCGGACTACAAATGAAACCCCGCCCGGACGCTCCCCGGACGCCCCGTAAACTAGGACAAATCCGGGGAAACCCGGACGGATGGCAGCCCTATATTTGCTTATGGGTTGCTTAGACTAGTACTCTTTTGTTTCTGTGTGCTTAATAGTTCTGTGTTTTTCGGCTGCCGACGTCAAGCTAGTCGGAGGGACACACTTGATGCGGAAAGCGTAGCGTAGCGTAGTGTTTAGATATACCTAGAGAAGGCCTATGTCCAGCAGTGGAAGTCCACGGGCTGATTATGATGGTAATGGTTTGGTGGTAATTTTATAATTCAACTGGTGCGACAATTTTAGCGGAAAATCCCAAAAATGCCATCTATTGATGGATCGCTGGTATCTTTATGGAAAAGTTAGTCATTACTATACTCAGCTAACATACAAATTTAGCTTTAAATACCTCAAGTCAGTGTGACTCAATCAATTTTATTTAGTACCTAACTAAAAAAAAGATTGTACCTGGCCCCGACGATTTTGCAGACATGATCAAGAAACTTATTGTATTCGACGTTACTAATAGTAAGTTTTTCGACAATAGTTTTCAAGACATTTGGACACCTTACATTTGGTAAGAAAGAAATATGTAATGTCTACTAAATTGGTATGCACAGAGAATCAATTGCAAAAGTTATATTAATTCTATTTAAAAATGCTTTAATTCACTCCTTGAGGCAAAAATTGCTAACTCAGAGGATTTTCTGTATTGAGGTCGAATTCTTCACGAGGTCCATTGTCATAACTAAGCAAGTTGTACATTGTGTATGGTACTGTATTTAAATCGTTATGCAACATGGCTTTGTATTCTTTATTAATCTTGTTGTTGCATCAATTTAAGAATGGATTGAATGAAGTTGTCAATTGTAAGTTTTGAAGATGATATAAATTTATATCATATCATTTGTTCATTCTTTGGTTTCTTATTAACTATTGGTTTCAGCGATTTTGTCTGCGTCGAATTATTTTTCTGTCAAAAAGAAGCATATTTATTTTTTCGAGTTTTCCTGTAACTTTCTTTTTCTTTTTTTTTTCTTTTTTTATTTTAGGAATTTTAATTCTTAAAAATCGGTAGAGTGGTTTAGCGCGAAAGTGTAATAAGCCGAATTTTTATAATTTATAATTATAACATACCTAGTACGGGTCTCATGAACTACGGTACCTAACATAAGAAACAATCATGTCAACGATTATCGTTTTAATAAAAGAACTTTCATTTTGGTACATTTAAAGAGGATATAAAAAATGTATGATAACGTAAGGTCATCGCTTTGCTAAAAAAGTAAATAAATGTTGATAACAACAGAAGACATCCAATTGGTCCAGTGTTTCTTGAACTACTTTTCAGTAAATTTAAATCTTTTAGGACAATCAATCAACAAAGACAGTTGACCTTCATGCTTGACGAGTAACGACAAAGAAATCTTATTAAATTAAACGGTATGTATGTACCTATTATCTAAGTTACAGATTTTTCATAGTATATTTGTTTCTTAGGTTTTCACGCACATCACTCATTAAATAAAACTAGTTTTTCAGACGTCAGACGACGACGAAGCCTGTAAAGGCTACGAAACGTCAATAAATAAATAAAGTTTCGTGCATTAACCCGTAAAAACTAGTTTTATTTATTTTTCATAGTATTTGCCAACTAATTTAATTTGACTTCTATCTTTCAAAGTTTTCATAAATCCTATCTCTCCAACTCGAGTTTAAAAACTGTAAGACACAATATTTTAGAAATGTACTTAAATAACGAAAAAACAGTTACAATGGTTTTCTACGAAAAACGTAACTCGTTTTCGGGTTTACAAGTAGTTCAATTGTCATTCGGCTTAGCATAAACAGTAAAGGCTTAAAAACGTTGTACAAGAAATAAGAATTTTATATTCTTATAACTAAAATACATTGTCTATCATCCAAAATGTTGTCGATAAATGAATCAACTTATTAAAAATGTATTTTTTTTTTCAATAAGATGTACCTATGTGTTATATCAAGCACGATAAAATTCAAAGTAAATCACAGTACCTAGATAGTTTTGGAGTAACAACAATCTTTGGCTGTCTGCACCTTTAAAATATTTGTTTCTATGTGGCAGCAGACAAGTATATGGAGCCGTACAGATAGGCGAACCAACAAAAACTGCACGGGACACTATTATAAACCAGTCAGTTATTCTCAACGACTGGCCGCCCGTTTTATTCGCTCCTTTGCTCATTTATTTTTTTACTGTCAATGTCATAGGCACCTTGGTTTCGTCGTCTGACTCAAGGCTAAGATGACTGAGTATTTATTGTAATTTAACTTTATATAGTTACGATCATTTAAAACTATATAATGTTATAACGTTTTCCAACAAAGCTTTTAATTGTAACCCTTTTGTCATTGTAGCTAGGTACTTATTTGAATAAAATGCGTTCTTGTATTAAATAATACAATTCAATAGATTTTCGTGTACCGATATTATCATCGTAAGCTTAAAGTTTTCATTAGTTCAATATTATAGTTCTGTTCAAATAATACGTCTTTGCATTTAATTGCACTGTTTATCAAAATCTGAAGGAGAACTGTTTAAATGCAATTAACAAGCTGTTTAGTCTGACTGATTAAAATGGGTCGGTGACGGCCGACGCGACGCAAACTTTAAATTGACTGGTACCTATTCGAATTTCGAACTATAGTTTGATTTGACTGACCGAAATTGACCGAATCATTCTCGTCCAGATTGACCGGTCAAAGACCCCACGTTAAAACGAATCTAAGTGCATTTTCCCAGTTTTTTGAACAGTTAATTAAAAAATTAAAAAAGGTTTTTCTTTCGATAATTGTTAATTGATTTAAAATGTATCTAACAAGTAGATTAGTAAGATTACTGATAAACTAAACCAGGTATAGCCAGCACAGTCCAATTTTTTAAATTGTTAAATATTTCAAATGACCTTTTTAAATTATTGTACCCATTTCATTATGTGACTTTGACTTAAAGAATCTTTGCTTTGACATTGTTTTTTCAAAGAAACCATAATATTTAAATAAGTTTTATCTTGTTTCCACAATAAATCTTTCATTTCACATATTAATTTGTTAAATTATGTTTAATATAAACAGTGTTTTTATTTTTATAAATGCTACTCGTCAGTTAGATCTTGATGGATAATTTATAAGGGTGTAATGGTGTAAATGATAAACAACCAAATAGGTATTTAATATTATAAAAGTGTGACGTTATTGCTTAGTACACTCTTCTCTTACTATCGAATTTCTTTTTATATTAATTCAATAGTAATTCAGTTAAAAGTTTATATTTTAACCTTACGGTGTATGGCTTAATAAAGATTAAAAAAAAAAGAAAAAACAGCACTTTCTTGATCACATGAAGTAAGACACTTATCAATTGTAAGTCTTAGTATATTATGTCAAGTGCTTTTTATATTATGATACTAGATCGGTGGATGTAGATAGATATATATTTTTTCTATATTGGATTATAAATTTCACGTGTGTGTCCCACACGACGTTTTTAAATGTGTTGTCTGTTGTTTTCATATATATCATGTATAGAAGTGCCTCTTATAATAAAACCTACATAAATTTTAATAAAAATCAATACTCTGAACATAGATAAATGATTGGTCTCGCTACGTGTTATAGCAATCATTTATCTATGACTCTGAAGTCTCATCATCACTAACTTCTCTTTTGACATGATTTGTCTGGTTTGTTTACAATAGATTTCTTCTATTGTACTACTTTATAAAATGTAGTGTATTTTAAATAATACTGATGTTACTTTTGATAGTACATGCAGTGTAGGATAACTGGTGGTTTCGTCACAATCCACAAGGGGCAGAGCTAAACTTGTTTTGAGGTTATCTAAACAAACGCTGCTCTAGTTTTTACCTTGCTTAGTTCAATTATTGATTCGTTGTTAGTGTGTTGAGAATGATTTTAATAAGTTCATTATACGGGTTTCCCGTGAGTATATCTGATTTGACTCATATAATAATGCACATTTTAAGAATCCACTTTATCAGCACATTATGCTTCTGTATTACCAAAACACACAAACAAACAAAAAAAAAACAATACCAATTCAACAACACCGCGATTTCGCTCACAACCGTATACTAGGCGTTCATAACCTGTAAGATATCGATTCACATACATTCCCTCCAAAAATGCTACAAAAAAGGGGTTACGGAAAGACCTGCTCGGGACAAAAAAAGCACTGAGAATACGAGGGATAGTCCTCCGTACCTCCGTAGTTCGTTCAGCGGCCGCCCCACTCGATTGTTAGGTGCTGGGGTGAGCTACCCCGCATTTCTGCTTACACACAACAGAAAACACTGGAGCCGCAGACTCCACACTTACGATGTTGCGGTTGGTCTTCTTCCTCATACGAACATTGCACGATCCATTAAACTATTCTAAAACTACACTACACTGACACAAGGGTCCTCGCTCTCACTGACATCGAGTTTTTTTTGGTAGCGTTGTTCGCGTGCCGGCCGGCGAGAGGGTAACGGAGCGAACGCGCAGGTAGTCCACTCTGCCGCGTCACTGTACGCAGGATATGTACCAATTTACATTATTTCACTGATTAGTTTTAAGGATAAGAGCGTAATATTCACGAGCGTGTAGAGTGGTGCATCGTTGGTGCTACGATATGTTCGCGCGGCGTGAGTCGCTCGATCGCACTGCTAGCTAGGGAGCGTCGGGTCGGGGAGGGGAGACGCGGGAGGCACTCTGCTTTACCGACCGTTATAAACTGACTGCTTTACCGACGTAGAAACGGACAGGTGGCGTGGTTTTCGGCCTTTCGCATCAAACTGTTCTCTTTCGTGGCTAGCCTCATAGCCTGGCTGTTTATAATCGCGCTCCTCCGATGCTCAATTTTGGTTACCTTCTACTTTTATATGATTCCAGATAGCGTCTGAAATGACGCACAAAAATTGAATTTTTTGAGTTACAACATTTTACAATGGTCGCGACAAAAATATAAAATATGTAATTAAATCGGTTACACATACGTTTGATATACCTATACACGCATTTATTTGTGTTTGAGTATTTTTATAAAAAACTAATAAAAATAATACAATAATTTTAATACTTAAAAAATATTTATTTCTTACACACGCCTACGACTTGAGTAAGTACTATACCTATGCACGAGTATGTGTAGGGATATTACGGCAACGGATACAAAAACTGGATTTTATACTTGCACAAAAACTAGATTTTATACTTGCAAATAAGTTTGTTAATTTTTTGTCGAATAATAAGTAAATAGTCATGCCATGACTCAGTTATAACTGCATTCACACCATGCGAACCCAGGATATCAGAGTAGGTTTGATACATTGAAAACCAGTGCCAAATACCAGTCTACCATGGAGAATTTATTGGTGCTAGATGAAATTAGGGTTCCGTACCTAAAGTGTAAAAACGGAACCTTATAGCTGTCACTCTTTCGTCTGTCTATCTGTCAGTCCATATCCCGGTCCTCACGGGTCTCTCTAGATCGTAAATGGAATGCTTGCCCAAAGTCGAATACTTAGCTAAATCTTATATATAAAATTCTCGTGTCACAATGTTAGATACCATACTCCTCCGAAACGGCCTGACCGACTTTTATGAAATTTTATATGGGTCTGAGAATCGGCTACTATCTATTTTTTTTTCATATCCATAAGTGATAATTGTTGTCCTACTGTAACGTAGTGTTCTGAAACCTCAGAATACAGTCTGTATTCTGAGTCTGAAACCTACAATGCGCCTTCGCCCCAAAATTTAAACTTTTACCTATGTATTGCAACATAGTGTTCTCATATGGGTTAGGAGGAATGTTATCCCAGGAAATTGATAGAACACTACGTTACACACCCCTAAATTTTTTTGGACAATATTTATTTTTTTATAATGTGGTATTTGTTGCAAATTCTTGTCTAAATAGCCTATTGTTAATATTCTCTTTTGTACATTTTTTCTCTCCTTTTAAGCTATCGAAATTTCCTTCACATAGGACCAAAAATAAATGTGAAGGAAATTTCGATAGCTTAAAAGGAGAGAAAAAATAAGTAGTGCTCAATCCAGTGCTGACATAATATAATGTGCAAAAAAAGAAAATACAATATTATTAGAGATTAACAAAAAAGATTACTTCTTACATTTAAACCAAAAAGATTATAAAACAATAAATATGTTCAAAAGACAATATTAACAATAGGCTATTTACACAAGAATTCGCAACAGTATTCAAAAATACATACAACCCTAAATTTTCTCTTCTACCGCCTGTCCCTATTTTTATGGCGGTACGAAGTTCGCTGGGTCAGCTAGTATACATATTACAAAATCTGATGGGTACATAAAAAGTAAACTTAAACCCCCTTATTAATAAACACGAAATAGGTTTTGACTAGTTACACCGTGTTTTGTTCCTATGACTCAAATGCCATTTTGTCATCATTCAATGAACAGAGACAAAACATGAAGTAACAAATAAGTAATAAATAAATATTTCCAATACTCACACCAATTAGCCTAGCCCCAAAGTAAGCACTGTAAGGCTTGTGTTATGGGATACTCGGGTAACGGATAGAATACATAATATAGAGTACATATATAAGTATATTTTTATAGAAATACATATTAAACATCCATGACTGGAGTACAAATGCTCGTATTCATCACACAAACATCTGCCCCCACCGGGATACGATCCCGGGACCTCTCGAGTCGGCGACACCATGAAATTGGGCGTACAAACCACTCGACCACGGAGGTCGTCAAAAATTCAAGCTTATCCTTCGTTTATTCATAAAGGGGGAAGAATAGAGTTTATTTTTTACTCCAATATTTGACACAGACCCCTCTTTCCGAGTGGGCACTTTGGGCAAGTGCCCAGGGCCCCGCGATCGATACAATCAGATCAAATACAAAGTCCCTAGTTCCTGTCATATCACCAAACGATAACCAATATTTATTACCAAAAAACTTATATAATTCGATGAAATCGAACCTAAATTACTGACTACAATACCAATTTACTAGCTTTTACATAAGCTAAGCTATTCTTCTCTTTGCCAAAAATTTGGCTTTCTGACTTCAGCATGCTTAGATAAATTTTAATATACATATAATACTCAGCACATACACATTTTAAAGAAAAATCATCAGTACACTCATCAGTATGACTCGCTCCATTTCAAGTCATAATCCACATCAAAGTCATATAGGCCCCATTATCCTAATATGCCCAGGGCCTCCAATAGGTTAAAGACGGCCCTGATTTGACACATCATTGTCTAGAGCTCGTTGAGTAGGGTGTATTTAAAGGTAATTGTATCTATTTTTTATTTTCAATAACAAAAAAATGAAGGGCCCTCATAATTGTCATTTTTAGACTATTTCTGTTACGGGGTCTATCGGGTTCATGGGCTGTTATTTTTACTAATATTATTAATTAAATATTAACAGTTTTTACAAATAATAATTGGCACAAATAAAAGCCGAGTAAAATAAAAAAAAATATAAAACACTGCATTGACATTCATCCTAACTTGAGCTCTATTTTGAATCACTCGTCTGACATAGTATCGTCGAATGCGACATAAGTCACTTTCGACTTTCAAGTCGCATAATACTGATTTTCCGTATTTTTGAATCACTCGTCACCAGTGTTACCTGTTTGATACGAAATACGAAATTTTACTAATTTCAAGCAGTAATAATAAAAACCGGTAATTAATACTACTCTTTGTCCTTTCCTATAAAGCATGACAATGATAGATTATCGCCGTCTAATACCACAACAAAAATGACAATTATTCTATCATTCGCCTCCACTATTCGCCATGCAGCGAGTGGTCTCACCAATTCGTTGCAGTCGAGCGATTCAAAAATATGGAATTATTATGTCGAATGAAATTTAGTAGAAATCGAGCGTTAGACGCAAGGCGAGTGATTCAAATATAGAGCTCCTTGTCCTTTTGGTAAACAATCTTGGCACTTCTTTTTATATAACATACAGCATTAAAAATCAACTGATAACTAGATTCAATAGGTTTCAGTCTATAATAAAGATTTATAGTAATAGATTATTGACTTTGTTATTATTTTATTTTTAAATTGGTGATTTTGTAAAAAAATTGCCAAGATTGTTTACCAAATAGGACAAGTTAGAATCTTTTTTTTAAGATTCTCCCTTTTCGGGGAAGGCAAAGGGAACAATGTCCATAAAGTCAAGTCTTTAATATTATTAATCTTCGTTTTTTTACATTAGAATGTCGGTGTGGCTCGTTCTAATGTTTCTTGGAGTGTTTGACACGAAATGTATCGAGTTGGCTTTTTAGGTAAGCTTCTAAGAGGTAGTCAACACTACAATAAAATTTTCACGTCCAATTGACCGAAATAGCGTATATTTAAAAGATTCCACTAATTCTTCAGTTGCGCAGACGGCTGTAACACAAAATCACACCAATTTTATTTCACAATATCCACTGTGAACGAATTTAAGAATAATTAAAATAAGACGCCAACCGCACTCGATGATATCAAATGGCTCCGCTTCTACTTTGAATTTATCTATGATATTGGTATACTTGTTATGATTTCTGTGCAAAAAATCAATTACTGTAATGAAAAAATGTAATACAGATACGTAATAAAAATGTCAAAATAACATAACCAATATTAATGTTCAGGGCAAAATATTTTTTTTCCTCGGCTTTCTTTCGTCGTGATTCTTACATATATATAAGCTCAATAAATTACGCAGAATCTAATGATATATCATTTGTTGAAAGACGCAACAATTTAATTTGAAATAAAACGTTGTATAGGAGTTGACCGATGTCCTTTGTGTAAAAACGAATGCAGTTGTGTATCAAAATACAGTCCTGAAGAAAGTTGTGGAACCTGTTTCTCATACCATGTTCAATAACAGGCACTGGGTATTCCAACAACATTCGGCGCCAGCTAATAGAGCGAAGAGCACACAAGACTGGCTGGCGGCGCGTGAAATCGACACGAAGCACGAAGACTGGCCCTCCTCCAGTCCAGATTTGAGTCCGTTAGATAACAAGATATGGCAACACTTGGAGGAAAAGGCGTGCTCAAAGCCTCATCCCAATTTGGAGTCACTCAAGACATCCTTGATTAAGGCAGCCGCCGATATTGACATGGACCTCGTTCGTGCTGCGATAGACGACTGGCCGCGCAGATTGAAGCCCTGTATTCAAAATCACGGAGGTCATTTTGAATAAACTTTATTGTCATAGGAATCTACGTTTTGTTAAGTTCATTTTGGTTACATAATGAATAAACTTATTTCAATTATTTAATATTAAATATATGCAGGATTTATGACCTGACTAGGTATGTGAAACCATTACATTTAGGAATGTTAAGACATACTGGCAGCGGTATAAGGAAAACCTCCAAGATAGGATTAAATATATTCCAAAAACTATTCAGTCTCTTAAAACACTCGTATTTGCTGTCGATTAAATTCTTGAAGACATACAGCCTTCTATTAAGAGGGCTGCCCTATGAAACAAAAACCAGAGAAGTAACAAAGTGCAATGGTAGAATTTCAAGCAAGTTTTAAGACTAGAAACGTGTAGACTGTTTAACAAAGTCAAAACGACCAATGATTGGGGGCAATACTTAAAGGCTCTAACAACCTACAATGAAGAACTACGAAAGGCGAAGACTTTCATGGAG